CCAGGGAACCTCGCCAAGGCTTGTCCGAGTGTGAGTGCTGAAAAGAAGAGAGGTGACTATCCAAGGAACGCAGCAGGTGTTGAAAGCAGCCAACTGCAAGTCTTGTAACTGGCACGAGTAGCATGAGCACATGACTGATGCGGCGAAGTAGTCGGACTGACGCAGTGCTCAGCTCTCGGACATTGTGTGCGCATGTTTCAGCAACCTTGTGACTCAGAGGCAAAAGGCATCCGCACAAAACCGAGTTTAGCCGGAAGGCTGTATTCGATATGCTTAAGATACGGCGCCAGTGCAGTTGTGGCCATGGGATGGTACGACATGGTACGACAAAAAAGTCGCGCGCGCGCGGCGGCGCATCGCAAGGCCGGGGCGGGCAGTGAGGACAATAAAGGTAGTGTGGGCGGTGTGGGCGGTGGGGGCGCGGTGGGGTCCGGGCACACATTGGCAGCCTTTAAATACTTATTTTACTCTTTAATTAAACACCTACAAATACAGCGGGCGGTGGGAACGGTGAAAGCGGTGGAGGGGGATGAAGGTGGTGGGGGTGGTGAGGGCGGTGAGGGCGGTGTGGGCGGTGGGGGCGGTGTGGGCGGTGGGGGCGCGGGGGGGTCCGGGCACACATCGGCAGGCTTTAAATACTCTTTACTCTTTAAACACCTACAAATACAGCGGGCGGTGGGAACGGTGAAAGCGGTGGAGGGGGATGAAGGTGGTGGGGGTGGTGAGGGCGGTGAGGGCGGTGTGGGCGGTGTGGGCGGTGTGGGCGGTGTGGGCGGTGAGGGCGCGGGGGGGTCCGGGCACACATTGGCAGCCTTTAAATACTTATTTTTCTCTTTAAACACCTACAAATACAGCGGGCGGTGGGAACGGTGAAAGCGGTGGAGGGGGATGAAGGTGGTGGGGGTGGTGAGGGCGGTGAGGGCGGTGTGGGCGGTGTGGGCGGTGGGGGCGCGGTGGGGTCCGGGCACACATTGGCAGCCTTTATAAATACTTATTTTACTCTTTAAACACCTACAAATACAGCGGGCGGTGGGAACGGTGAAAGCGGGGGAGGGGGATGAAGGTGGTGGGGGTGGTGAGGGCGGTGAGGGCGGTGTGGGCGGTGTGGGCGGTGTGGGCGGTGTGGGCGGTGAGGGCGCGGGGGGGTCCGGGATGGTCCGGGCACACATTGGCAGCCTTTAAATACTTATTTTACTCTTTAAACACCTACAAATACAGCGGGCGGTGGGACGGTGAAAGCGGTGGAGGGGGATGAAGGTGGTGGGGGTGGTGAGGGCGGTGAGGGCGGTGTGGGCGGTGGGGGCGGTGTGGGCGGTGGGGGCGCGGGGGCGTCCGGGCACACATTGGCAGCCTTTAAATCCTCTTTATTCTTTAAACACCTACAAATACAGCGGGCGGTGGAGACGGTGAGAACGGTGAAAGCGGTGGAGGGGGATAAAGGTGGTGGGGGTGGTGAGGACGGTGAGGGCGGTGTGGGCGGTGTGGGCGGTGGGGGCGAACGTGGAAAGCGGTGGATGAAGGTGGTGGGGGTGGTGAGGGCGGTGTGGGCAGTGGGGGCGGTGTGGGCGGTGTGGGCGGTGGGGGCGCGGGGGGGTCCGGGCACACATTGGCAGCCTTTAATTTCTCTTTACTCTTTAAACACCTACAAATACAGCGGGCGGTGAGAGCGGTGGAGACGGTGGGAACGGTGAAAGCGGTGGAGGGGGATGAAGGTGGTGGGGGTGGTGAGGGCGGTGAGGGCGGTGTGGGCGGTGGGGGGGGTGAAATGCTCTTTACTCTTGAAACACCTACAAATAGAGCGGTGGAGACGGTGGGAACGGTGAAAGCGGTGGAGGGGGATGAAGGTGGTGGGGGTGGTGAGGGCGGTGAGGGCGGTGTGGGCGGTGTGGGCGGTGTGGGCGGTGGGGGCGCGGGGGGGTCCGGGCACACATTGGCAGCCTTTAATACTCTTTTACTCTTTAAACACCTACAAATACAGCGGGCGGTGGGAACGGTGAAAGCGGTGGAGGGGGATGAAGGTGGTGGGGGTGGTGAGGGCGGTGTGGGCGGTGTGTGGGCGGCGGTGTGTGGGCTAAATGCTCTTTACTCTTGAAACACCTACAAATAGAGCGGTGGAGACGGTGGGAACGGTGAAAGCGGTGGAGGGGGATGAAGGTGGTGGGGGTGGTGAGGGCGGTGAGGGCGGTGTGGGCGGTGTGGGCGGTGTGGGCGGTGGGGGCGCGGGGGGGTCCGGGCACACATTGGCAGCCTTTAAATACTCTTATATACTCTTTAAACACCTACAAATACAGCGGGCGGTGAGAGCGGTGGAGACGGTGGGAACGGTGAAAGCGGTGGAGGGGGATGAAGGTGGTGGGGGTGGTGAGGGCGGTGAGGGCGGTGTGGGCGGTGTGGGCGGTGTGGGCGGTGAGGGCGCGGGGGGGTCCGGGCACACATTGGCAGCCTTTAAATACTTTTTTTACTCTTTAAACACCTACAAATACAGCGGGCGGTGAGAGAAGCGGTGGAGGGGGATGAAGGTGGTGGGGGTGGTGAGGGCGGTGAGGGCGGTGTGGGCGGTGGGGGCGGTGTGGGCGGTGGGGGTGCGGGGGGGTCCGGGCAGACATTGGCAGCCTTTAAATACTTTTTAAAAGGGCGGCGGTGGCGGTAGGGGCGGTGTGGGCGCGGAGGGGTCTGGGCACACATTGGCAGCCTTTAAATACTCTTATATACTCTTTAAACACCTACAGATACAGCGGTGAAGGACTCTTTAAACAGAGCGGTGGTGGAGGTTGTGAGGGCGGTGGGGGCACTGGGGGCGCGGAGAGGTCCGGGCACACATTGGCAGCCTTTACATACTCTTTAAACACCTATAACAGCGGTGAAAGACTCTTTTAACAGAGCGGTGGAGGCGGTGGAAGCGGTGTGGGTGCGGACACCTCTCGGGATATCACGGGCGCCGCCCGCAGGGGTCGGCGGATAAAGGGTCTATAAACTTTTTGTTTCGAGTGGTAGTGGTGACGCCAGTATACGCAAGTCGTCCTGGCTCAGGAGCTGCGCCGTCGAAGGGGAGGAGGGAGCCTCATCATCGTTGAAGTTGGGGTCTTTTTGGGGCAGCTGTCGAAATTCATTCTTGACGCTTGCCTACGATCTTCGCGCAGAAGCTAGACGTGCTTGCTTCGTACACGCAGCCGGCAGCTTGTTGTGTCGTCAGGATCACTGCGATTTCGTGCAGCTCATTGGTGTTGATCCATATTTGGGTGCCGATGGCACCTTTCCTGGCAACTTCGATTCCGAACTACATCCGGAAGTAGCTTTCCACCATGCTTCCAAGTTGTATGCTTCTTTCGGCGACAGGCAGGGTTGACGTGTCATCTGTTCAGCTCTAGTTCGACGGGACTGCCCTCTTCTGCAGGCTGTTGACGGCTTTCCATGCACATTCCTTTTCGTCACTTCCTGAGTATTGCTAGGGCGCTGCTTCTACGAGCAACGTCTCTCGAAGCTGCGCAGTCCTTGCCCGACAACAGCATCGATGCGGTCTTTATCGATGGCTGCCACTACTACAATTGCGCATCCCTGCCGCATGTTGTTTTCAGGAGCCACGAAGTAGGAAGCTTGGAATAAGCTTGGACATCGTGCTCGTTTTGGTGCAGAGTCGACGCAAGTGCGAGAAGGGCGCTGGAGCTATTCCGAGGTGAAGTCCGATTTCGCTGCTTGGATGCCGAAGCTGCGTTCCAGAGCCGAGACTTTGGTGGCCGGCCATGACTTCTCACCCCAATGGCCTGGTGTTGTACGCGCAGTGCAGGAGCAGTTGCTCGATTTGCAGCACGCAGGAGCTTCTCTGAAACCTGTGTTTTAGCTGTAGCAACCTGGCTTTTCAAAGGCTGGGCGTAAGAAATCTCTGGTTCATGGTCTGCATGGTCAGCCTGAGCTAAGGAGACAGAACCACAGGACCGTGACACTATCCACCGATTGGTTGTTCTGGTGGTTTGATCCGCAACAAGAAACTACAGGAACACGCGAGGAGCAGAGTGCGCGCTGAATGTTTATGTGGCTCGTGCTATTCAGCAGCTTGGCAGCCAGACCGGGTGTGCTGCTTTTGTCATTCCTCAGAGCGTGGGGCGCTAGTCGCCAGCCCGCCTTCGCATGATTGCCGTTACATGCGCTCTTGTGCTCCTTGTGAACCCAGGATGTTTCGTGATCCGCGAATTCCGACGATGGCTGGCCGTGCTTGTTGCCGATTCCCTCTGTGCGGCTGCGGCACATAGCGACCTGGACACTGCGCGATGCCTTGATTCTTTTCTTTGGCGTTGCCGAAGTTACCTTCCTCCACTCCCTGGACCTCCACAAGGCCTGTCTATGCTTCCGTGGCATCGCCGTTGAGATCTGCCTTCACTGCCCACTGCTCCGCCACGAGTTTCAGGCTCTGCAGCAAAGCGAGTGCCATTTTGAGCTTCGGGAATCCTGGGCTTTGGACAAGTGCGTGTGGGGCTTTGACTTCTCAATGTCAGCTTTTGCAAAGAAAAAACTGCGGCATTGCCTGGTTGAAAGAGTCATGGAGAGTGGGCCGGGATTCGTATAGCACTTCCTGTGCAGTGGTGGTTTCACCAACTGGCAGACACGGAGAATTGCAGGAGTCGCAGCTTCTATTTTGCTTGATAGCCTTGGACTTTCTTGGCGCAGTAGGACACCCTCCCAATGTCCAAAACTGGTCAACATCAACAACAATCAAGCCCTTGCTTCAAAGCCAGATTTCATCCTTCTCGCGACTAGCAATCACGCGGGTAGGCCCGAAGAAGCGGGTCTTCAGTGTGTAGCAGCACAAGGATGGGTTGCATTCAGCCTCGTTCCTCCCTTTGTGCTTGCAGTTGATGTAGACAGACCCTTCCAGCAACGAGAACGAGGGTTGATGTTCAGCATAGCGGCCTATATCGCGTTGTCTGCTACTGTAACAGTAACATATACTAACTAACTATTCAAAGAGCACGTCAACACGCTTGTAGTCTCAGCCATCCACTGGCATGGGGAAGAAGTCTGGAGGCGGCAAAAAGGGGAAACCTGTACAGACGGTGAAGAGCTTAAAGGCGAAGGCGGCAAAAGGCCGTGGCCAGGCAAAGGCCAAGGTCGGGAGTGTCCGCCAGCAGGCTCGGCATGAAGCCAAGGCGTCCACACGAGCCTCGCGAGGACGCCGTGCCCATGGCAAGGAAGAGGCAATCAACGAGACACGGCAGCGCTTGCGCGCTAAGCTGCTGCAGAGGCAACTGACCCGAGGTCCAGCTGCAAAGCCTGGGGAAGAGCGGCGCGGAATCTTGGTGGAGTTGGCAGGCTTTCAGACCGAAGCCGGGCAGCAGCGGTCGGCTATTAGGTTGCTCCAAGAAGCTCTGGACATGTCTCCAGAAGATGCCGATTTTCAGGTTCGCACACCGTTGCTAGCTTTGTACATGGATCGTGCGATGACGGAAGAAGCATCATCGATGCTGAAGGGTCCCCTCTTTGAAACAGGAGCAGATGCTGAAGCTGCCAGCAATGCAAAAAGAGAGGCTGCAACGGTCGGGCTCTACTCCTTGGCTCTTCTAAGCTACATCAAAATCCATGTTCTGCAAGAC